ACGAGGCCCATTCATTCATGGGTGGTCCAACGCTTTTTTCCTCCCCAGATATTAGACGGGGGACCATGGGGGGAAACAACATCCGTCAGGAGGACTCATATGGCAACCATAAGGCTTATCAAACACAGGGACAAAATGTCCTTCCTGAAAGACACCCACAAAAAGAGCTATTAATAAAAAGTTAATAAAACTACAAAGTGTTAAAATGAAATCAATAAAAGAATCAAGAATGTTCTTCTATTTTTACTTTCCAGACCGGCCAACACCACATGTTGAAATCCAGGGTTTTTGTCAGCCCATTTTCCAAAAACAACACAGTGTTTTGACAGCAGAGAGCCATAAAGTGCCAGTGTATGTCAACCCTAAGACAGCCTACTGTTTCCTCTCCTGCACTGACCCCTCCCTGTAGGGGCCCCATGTACTACAGGCCTCCTAATTACCTGCTCGTTTAACACAAAATAAGAGCTGTAATGGCTGACAAAGCCCCCCATGTCTCAATGAAGCGTTCACAGATAGAATCGCACTGTTGGAGACAGCCTCTGCTCTCAGCTCAAGGAGCCGGCGCTAAAGACATCACAAAAAAGGAGGGGGTGGGTCCAGAGAAGAGGGCACATGTGTGTTTTGCCACCCTTAGACCTCAGCATAATGACCCCTGAGAGGGGTACGTGTTCTGGCTTTAGTTTCAGGGCAAATTATACCACCATGGTAATTTTCACCACTTAACAACAAAGCGAAAAGGTTCAGAGGTTATGTAGGATGACACAGCCTTTATGATTCAATTACAGAGCCTCGCAAAAGTGTCCATACTCCCTAAAGTCTTTAGCATTAGTACCACAAACAGCATACAATTATTGCAAAAGCATAACGTTGAAAAAATAGTTTTGTTACAGGGTTAAATCTGAGGGGGTTTCCATTTTTATGCAGCCCCTTTACTGTTGTACCCCTGAATAAATTGAGCAAATTCCTTTAGATGTCACATAAGTAGACATCACTGAATCTGTGCATGAATACATCTGTTCTCTGAATGCTCCAAAAGGTTTATGATTGAACATTTGTGAAGAAATGTCATGAAGGCTGAAAAACAGCAGACAAATCAGGGAGGAAGTAATGGAGATGATAAAAAAAAAAGAGTCAGAACAAGATATAGCATCCCCAAAAACTGAACCACTATTCCATCATGCAAAATCAACATATTACAGCCCATCTGCAAATCTACAAAGAGATAGAGATAGTGTATATGCTGTTGTAAAAAGAAAGCTGTTGAAGACAGTAATACATACATGGGACACAGAATTTAAAAGAGACCACAAATCTGCTTCTTGGCCTACATGCAGAACGCTGTGTGTGGCTTGAAACGAACACTGTACATCAGTCTGAACACAGCACCCCCATGGGAAAACATGGTGGTGGGAGCATTATGTATGGAGTGGGGGGGGGTCCATGTCTCCAGTAGGGACAGGGTCATGGAGCAAAATGAAGGAAGGGAAAATCTGTGAGAGGCTGCATCAGATAGTGGTTGGAACAAAGCATTTTCATGTGTTAGAAAGTGCAGACCAATTTTTGAACATTTCCTCTAAATGCATAAAGCTATTAGAGTTTTACCTCAGTCAATATTTGCAGCAAACGGTAATAACTAATGGGATATTGGGAATATTTTTCCTTCATTCACAGACATTATACAATGTTTAGCAACTTTTTTAAACAACAAACTAAGCAAACAACACAGCCCGTAGAACAGAAAAACTATCATCCCAGCATCCCTTCACTTTATAAATAACAGAACATGTATTCCTTGTGTGCAGTAATTCACTTCTATTTAAATCAGCTCAGGTTTTCTAAACAAACTCATTTCCGACTCCCATCTGCTCGCCACCAAGTAATGAGACTTGTTTGAAAGTCCTCTGACGGGGGACAGCAGATGCACAGGAAATGCTTTTGATCAAACATGAGTGAGAATGGGAGGTGGGGGATAAAGTGGGCGTGATTGCCAGTGCATGCTCGCTCGAGGACAAGCATGTGCCTTTGTCTCGGGGCGCCATGTCTGTGATTGCTGACTGCCGGGTGTGCGTGAGGCGTTTTTTTGGCACGGAACGCAAATTTCCTACAATACTGAGTGATGGTGGTAGTAATCCTACTGTCTCCTGGCTCCTCTGTGTCCTGGTGCCATATGTGACCGGGTAGGCGGGTGGGTGGATTGTTTGTGATGTGATATTGTTCATTGAGACGCCTTGAGATGAGAATATATTTTTTTATGAATAGGGAGGAGGGTTGTGGAAACAGCTGCATGCCAGACCAGTTGGCACTGCTGTCTATAGTAAAGTTTTTTTTTTTTTTTCCTCCTCAGTTGTTTTTATATGGGCCATTAAAATGAGCTGATGCTAGCACTCTGCTACCCAGAGTACCCTTTCAGGAATACTTTGTCTCACATTTATGTGAGAAAGGAAACTGAACAGTGGTTCATCTTTATTTAACATCCTACTCCTTATTGCTTTACACATTTCATACTTTACAACTAAAACACCTTGTTTACACTCATCATTTTAGCTTAGCATTTACTGGCTCCATTAGCACACTCATATAATTAAGCTGCAGGGCCAGTCTGTTGTTTTTATGTGTCAACAGTTCACTTTGTGCAAAACGAAAAACTAAGGCTTTTAAAAGATCTGTCCAGTACATAGAAAAAAGGATGGTGGGAGGCTAACATCAGGTCATGGTGGGGCAAAATTTTTTTTTGTTGCTATTTTAAGAGACATTAGAAATTAAATAACCTCCATAAAACGCCAATATATTACAAAATTTTAATTGCCTTCATTCCCAACAATTATATATTATCTTTTATTATGTTTTGTGTTACAAAACCTAGTTGTGACCGTACAAAAAAGTCCACCCGGAGGCACTAAAGTTTGATTTTTGCTAATATTGCATTCCAACCCACAGGCATAATTATTTAATCTCTTAATATCCACCTAATTTTGGGAAATTCTCCCCTATTTTGCATACCCAAATGGAAAAGCAAATAACTTAGAAACTGTAAGCCCAAATTGACATGTGTGATACGTTATTTGAAAGCTAACACCTTCTAGTTTCTGTATATATACATGAAAATTGGGTGAGTAAATCACAGACCAAGCTGCGTCAGTTCAAACAAGACTCAAATTTGTTTTTTTTTATTCTCGAAAATAATAGGTCTTTTTTGAACAGCAGTTATAAAGACATGCTTGCTTGTTGTGGTTGCTTTCTTATGTTACATTTTGACATGCTGCTATATCTGTGTTAATTGTGCTATGGTGGTCGGTATGTCCATAAAATAAACTAGGTGGTTGAATTGTGGAGAATCTAAGCTTTCCAACGATGTCTAACATGTCCATAGTGTTAAACATTTTACCAGTGTAATTTTCATGCATTCTGAGTTATTATTTGTAAACGCTTAAATAAGCGTTTTGAGAGGTTAAGATTTGATTGTCCTAAATTGCCACAATTAGTAAAATAATATCTTTTCAGTCTTTTTTTTCTCCCAAGGATGCTGTTTATACAATAATGGTAGCTAAACATGTGTGTTTATAGGAAGAATCAGGTGGTTTTAGTCCAGACTGCTAACATTTCTGAGCTTCCTGCATCCTAACCTATCAATGCCATGGCAGATTTTCTTTGCATTGTATCTAGTTTGTGGAAAGTCAGAAAGAATTTCCATAGACTTTGTTAAAAGTAAAACTTATAAGCCAATTTAGATTCTGTTCCTTTTACATATAAAATATACATCTTGGCTGGTATGGACGGATGCATGGTTGGTTGGTTACATGGTGTAAAGGATCCAACTGAAGGAAGATGGCTGGACTGAAAACCAACTCAGAGGTGAAGAAGTGTTCACCAAATTAATCAAACAATTAAAAGAGACTGACCACCAGGAACAATCAGGTTTCTTTGGGTCAAAATTAAGGGAGTAAAATCCTACGATTGCTTCATGCTAAAGGCTCAGTAAAGGCTCTCAGTTTGCAGCTTTTCAGTTTTGACACTTTTAATCGTTGCGCTTATGAAAGAGTGAATAGTAAATCTTAGTCATTATAGTGTTTTAGTTTAAGTGGTTTCAAATAGCTAAAAGCAGCTAAAGCAGGGGCATTTATCTAGCTAGCTGTTTTATCACTCTGAGTGTTTCTGCTGTATTTCACAAATTAACAGTCATAGCATCTTATGACAGCATTTAACAGACCTGTTATTCATAACTTCACAGAACCTCTTTAAAACAAAATCAGCAATTCAAAGGTATAGAGCACGATCTTTTGTTTTTGGGCGGATCATCTAAATAATTGGTCCTACTAACTGTCAATCATTCTGGTGATACGTTTACATGCTTGCACTGTTAACTATCTTTTACTGTGCATTTGCACTTTCAGCCACATATGTGTGGTGAGCTACGCTTTCAGACAATAATTGAAGCTCAGCTTTCTCACCGCGTTACTTTGAAAATGGCCAAGGGTCGTAAGAGAAAAAGTGTCTACGAAGTGTATGAGAAGAAAAGAAAGGCCTCAGAAGAGGCAGATATATCCAAGATTGCTTTGCTCCCATAATGCGTGGAGGAGATCTCTCCACGCATTATGGGAGTTTTCTATAAAGTCCACTATATAGTCCCTGCTGTATGTGGACACAGTAAGCTTCCATGAGCTATGAGAACAGCACATTTTAAGCAGGGTGTGCACGAGGACAAAGGGGCTCGTGCATGCTCTTGCACAAGCATTTTTTTTTTTGGAGTGGAGAAGGTGGGTCTTTTAAAAAATCCTCCACAATACCTTTAAGTCAGATCTACAATATGATCTTTAAATACTTCAGTGCTGCAAGTTTCTATCTTAGTGGCATTATGGGTAATGTAGTGCTCAGGCTTTTTTTCTGTTTCTTGCATGTTGAATATATATTTCAGGATTAATAAAAGACAAGCTACTCTTTAATTTTAAGCTTGTTCAATCATAGTTTCTTTCTGTGCTACAAGTGCATGCATCAGTACTCACTCCTGGGCTCACGAGGTCCATCCACGGTGACCTTTATAGCTCGGTGGTACGTTGCCACTTGTGGTGGGTTGGTGAATACCGTGATTGTCAATGTGAAGCTCTTGCCTGTGGTGACATCAAAGAAGATCAAAGGATATGGCATCTGCAAAGACAATGTCTGGTATTTATCTCTATCTATCTCTATCAAAAGTGTTTTTATTGGTCACATAAGAAGGAAAATGTCACGTAGGGGTGATTAAAAGAAAACTGAACTGAAAAGCTCTGCTTGGTTAGTTTTATAGAACTGAACTAAAGGAGTCGATATTTCATTATCAAGGATTTCTAATGCCGTGTGAGTAGGCGAGAGGCATTTTAATAGTCACTTCCTTTCTCGATAATCCCCAGCAGTTGCTGCCTTGGGGTTGACTGCTTGTATGTTCATGCACAAGGAATGCTGTGAATCGGATCACAACAGCCAAGTCAGCAGCTACACTAACTTCTGAGGTATGCAGACGCGCCATGCAAGCGTGGCTGTAAGTCGGAAACAGGAAGAAGGGGGAGAGAGTGAGGAGACAGCAACAGTGGCTCAACCAAGAAGCTACCCTTTCGTTTGCAGCCTCTATAGATCTGGACCGTCCACTGTCTCACTTTAAAGCTTTAAAGGAACATACAATACAAGCAACAACTGTCCCACATGGCTCCATCAAGGTGCACCAGAGAGCAGTGAGATAAACACCCTCTGTATCACCATCCTATTCTGACAAATCTCAAACTTCAATATATCGTATCATGATATGATACAATACACCAATACAGCATAACGGTGAAGAGGAATGATAAAATGGTTTTTGTTCTTGTTTTTTCAAAAGATTTAATCTGAAAAGTGTTGCATGCTTTTAAAACTGATCACAACAGATTTCACTTAGTATGACAAGCTGTGCAAGGAGAGCACCATCCAGCAAGAATGGGTAGAAAGAAAGAAAGAAACAAAGAAAGATGGTGGTGGCAGCATCATGGTTTGGGATTGCTTAAAAAAAAAAAAAAAAAAAAAACAGCAGATAATCGCGAGCTAGCCATAATTGGTAAGAGGCCTTAAGCACTATGGTGACACTAACACCAGGCTCATCATCACCAACCATGTAGCTGGAATGCGGGCACTGCAAATACCCAAATAATTAAAATCAATGTGTATACTCAGATTAGCCAGTGTATGTGCAGTTACCAGAGGTCATATGGTACTCTGGAAAATTCTGCAAGAAGGAAAGTGCCTTAGCATTAAGCCAAACGGGAAACGTTAGGCACTAGAGTGGAAAAAGTTTGGTTGATTTTCAAAATAGAATTGACTGACCAATTTACGCTAGCTTGGCAAGTGCAGCAAAGCAGCAAAACAGAAACATGCGAAAATAGATGGGCTATTGGAGGATGAAAAATGATATTAATAATATAACTTATTGTCTTGCAAGCACAGTTTCTGCAGCTACAGTCTAAGCTGGGCCAAAGCAGTCAGTGTAAGTGGCTTTTTTACACAGACTGGGACTAATGTTCTTTTGACAGTAGTTCTTCCTCTATTCTGATGGAACTTGTGCTATTTTACTAAAAAATTTAATAACTTTATTCTATAGTTTGTAGACATTGATAAAAAGACATTTTAGATGTGGAGATGGACTTGCAGAGCTTAGACTTGACTAAATACGATAGCATGCCGCACTTCTAAGATTTTTTGGGGGTTTTAAAGAAAAGCATGTAGATATAAAATAACAATATGTGAAAAATAGAGAAGGAATACAGAGAAGGAATACAGAGAAGGAATACAGTACCTGCATTCCTGTTATTAGGATATTCATCTGCAACACTTTTAATCTAATACCAATGGTCAAAATTTTTTTCTTGTTGTTTTTTCCCTAAACTATTTTTACATTTTGTGATGTTTAAAATCAAATAAAATAGAAAAATTATATAAAAGATTATATCAGGAATAATTGATTCATCTCCCACGCGTCAATGCTATTATCACCCACATCAAGCCTAAAAACCATCATTGTCCATCCCGGTTGGCTCCGCCCACCACTCTGGGCATGACTTTTAGCTATCTAACATGCTATCAGTTCTCTCTGCTTGTACTTATCTGTCACTGGGGGGTATTCATTTCAGACACCTCGTAGTCTGATCTACCCTCCTGGCTCCTATGTCACTTCCTGTTAGTAGATTCTGTGTCACAGGAAAAGTGACACAAGGAAAGGTTTCCGTGGCAACCTGGACTGATGTGTTCAGCACACTCTCCTCCCTTTTTGACAGCTTGAGCATCTACAATCTACAACCTACAATCAGTTTATCTGCGGCAACAGTTATCTGGAGTCTTTGAAGGGGAAAAAAAACAAGGGTTCCAGAGAATAGGGAGAAAGTTGTGAGTGCCAAGTGTCATACAGTAAATAAAATGATTTACGCACAGGTTATGGGAGCAGTGAGTGATTTGAAGTATCGTTAAGTGATGCCAAACATTCCGGGAATGTTATTGGACTGAACAGGAGTTTGTTTCACTCCAGCAGCCTGAGGATGTGGGCAAAAAAAAAAAAAAAGATCAGCCGTTAGAGCTGCCGCACCACCCAGCATGTTAATGGGTCAGAACTGAGCTGAGGTTATGTAAGGTAAAAGAAAAATGAAAAAAATTGCTTCTTTATAAAAAAAATAAATAAATGAAATGAAAAATAGCTTAAATGTTTTGCATCTCAAAAAGCTGCTCTGCTTATTTTAAAAGCTAAACTATAAAGAAGTCTCATTTTAAGGGCTGAAAGTGGGGGGAGGAGTTAAGGAGATGGTCTGTAGGATTTAGCCCCTGGAGTTAGGGAGATCATTATGTGGTTGCCACTTTGGGAATGTGGCCACTAATCCACACCACTGAACCCTAATGGCTCCCTGCAAGCTGCAGGAGTGAGAGTGGAGAGAGCCTAAGGCCTCACCTCTGCCACTGCGGCCCACAAACCGAAGATCGTTGAAGCGTGCTACTTGATTCTTCATCACGCCCGAGGCGTTCCGGAGCTCGGCGGAGTAGTTCTCATCGTTGCCTGCCATCACAGTAACAACTGTCCCATCAGGTATATCCCCCAGGGCAACCACCTGTCGAGGAAACACAAGAAAGTGATAGCAAAACAGTTAAGATGTTAAAATCTAGAAGAATATTTCGGTTCAAACAGCTCGTCTCTTATTATTTCCCGTCATGCCATCCTCCTCCAAATTATGTTGATAAATGAGTTTAATTTATCCCTCTGAACCATTCTTGCAACAAGATAAACGTTATGATGTTAACCATCTTGAGCCTAGAGGCCTGGTGTTATCATTTAGCTTCTTGGATGCAGATAAAAGAAGACGAGCAAAGCCCCGCAATAATTACAGAGTCCCTCATAATAAGGACAGGGGAAATAACACTTATATTTCAAAAAGTGTCACTTTTAATTGCAAGCCAGAGTTTCAGCTACACATTTCCAATGAGGGGGCTTTGATCTACCCTTTGAATAATAAGTCACTAAATTAAAGGGACGCATTTTTTTTTTATCTGTAAACTATTGAGGGAGCAAATAAATGTTCCAAAATATTAAATACATCACTCATGAAGGCTTTTATATTTTTTTTTATTTTTTTTTTTAGTTTTATTGTGTAATTTAACTCAAACTCCCCAGTGATATGCTATAATAAAGACTGATACTTTAAATTGTTAAAATATGGAGGTAGTAAACACATATTACTTAAAAAAAGAACCATTACATTAGCAGTAGTTTATAATTCAAAACCTGGAATAGAAAGATTAGCATTAAGATTAAGAGACTTTTGAAGAGGTTTCTGTCTGTTCTGAAAACATGTGTTCATTTTATGTGATGCTAAAAAACCTGCAGGAAAAAAATGATTTTTTTTATAGCTGTATGAAGGATGTGTAACCCCCTCCCCACCCCCCACCTGTTGCTTTACAGGCCACTAAGCTGGACAGACTAACAACACAGTAGAAAGATTTTTTTTTTTAACCAATCTTGAAAGACTCAAAATAAAAGTATAAAAATCCTAAGGAGGGATAATTGTTGCTATTTCTGTTTTTAAAAATCCATTGAAAAAATTTGGATTCCATTGAACATGTTTTTCTCCTTTTTTTAAATATGTTTTATTCATTTGGTACTTTACTAGTTATTTTGTTACTGCATCATTTTGAAAATTAACAATGAGATTTAGCTGATTTATTGGAAAAAGTCTAACAGATGAATGAATACGTCATAATAATAACAAATGAAAAATAAAACTTAATTCTGGGGTGGAATTTAAAGAAACGATGGTGACTTCTGAGGATTTTTTTTATCCCACTTTTTTTTTTTTTTTTTTTTGCAATTCCAGATATAGAGATATATTTTAAAGTTTCATAATTATGGGTTATGATCAATAAGAAAAAGCTTTCAATAAGGCCTCGGGATAAACCTAAGTGAACTTCTTTCCACCGTATATTTATAGCATTGTATATTTATATACAGATTACATCAAATGCTGGCCTTTACAGGTCCGATGCATGTTTAATAATACAGAATGCAAATTTAAGTCCAGTTCAGGTCGCAACAGAATAATCATAATCTCACGTTTAAAACGCGCTTTAATCCTTATTATTAAAAATAACAGTCAAAGTAAATTAGTTAGATAATATAAGGCAGCTACTGGGATTCCTTACAATTCAGTAACACATTTCTCTGTCTGAGCTCACCTTGAAGGCGACAGGCAGCGTCTTGTTGCAGCGCCAGTGGGAGGGCAGGACCGAGCAGAGGAAGTTGGGGCTGTCGGTGCGCACCAGTTCGGCCGGGTGGTCGGCGATGATTTCCGCCATGCTTCGGTTCTCATGCGGGGGACGTAGCCTCGGCACGGTGGCCGCCGCGTCCGGCTGGCCGGCCGGGGAGCTGACGTCGTTCATCTTCCCTGGGACCGGCTGGAGGCTGCTGGACGGCGGACTGAACCTCCGGCTGGCGCTGGGATCTACGGGAATTCGCATCACAACACCGTGGATTTAGAGAAAAGCGCACAGAGGGGCTGCCGGGCTCTTTTCTTGCTCTCTTTCTCTCACACACGCTCAGAGAGACGCTCTCTACCTCGGTGGAGCGCACAACGTTTTTTCTAAAACTCTCGACAGCAAAGAAAAAAAAAATCTTTAAAACATGTATTTCCTTCAACAAGAGCTTTTTCCAGGGAGGACTCCAAGTGCCACAACGTAAGAGCGCACCGACATGTGCGACTGCAATAACACCAAATAAATCTCCGAACGCGCACTAGGCTATTCAGCCAAACCAGACGGTCTAAGCGCTTTTTGTCTGCCTTCCTTTGGTTAAAAGTCAAAGCGCTCCTCCAGGTGCGTCATTGAAGTCTTTGTGCCAAACTGAAAAGCGCTCTGAGAACCCGCAGGCTATGTACACATAAAAAAAAGTTTCAAAGTGAAAAGATTACGCCTCAACAATACTTAACAAGCCTATTTATAATCCCGCGACGCCTGCAAATTCAACAAATCTTTCTGGAAGTCTTCCGGCCGAGAAGCGGGTTTTGTATATAGGGTTAAAAAGCCCGAGGAAAGGAAAAAGAGAGAGGGGGGAAAGAGGAATGATCGCCGGTGAGATGAAGGAGGAGGGGAAAACGAATCCCGTTTTGTGGCCGTGAATGTGGTTAGTGTTTGGAGGCCGGGGTTCCCCGTGCGCAGGCGTTTTGTGGTTTATATAGCCCGAGCGCCTCAGTAATTATTGCGCTGATGCGACTCCAACACGTGGTGTCTGGAGATCGGCGATCTATCACGCCTCTCTATACGCTCTGCCCTGGACAGCTGTTTGTTCACCTATACCTTTCCTTAAAATGTTAGACACCTACTGTACGTACCGACATGTTACCGCTCCTCTGGACGGTCAGTGCGCTTTTAACGTCAGAGGTGGTCATTTCCAGTAGTGTTAACGCGATACCGTGCGCGCTGATAATGTGCGCCTTAAAGGAGCGCTTCTGAGCGAGCTCCATCAGGCTGGAGCCGCTGAGTCACCGGAGAGCGGTGAGTAAGGTGGATGCGCAGGAGTAAGGTTTCACTTTGGAGAGAACTGCTGCGCAGGTGGAGCTGCAGGTATTCTGCTTGGAATCATCCCCATCCACCTGGCAACCGCCTTTACAAAGGTCGCTCATAACAAAATACAACTTGCTCACCCAGTTTTTTTTATTTATTTTTTTTGGGCACAAGATGTGTTAAATAAATTACATACGCGTTTCATTAGGAGAAAACGAAACCACATGCATGCAGTACTGAAAGATGAAACCATGTTTTTTTTTATTTTTTTTTTATTTTGCGAAGCCCAAATTAGGCACGAGAATATTTTAGACGTACTTAATTTCTTTTAACAACAAAATATAAGAAGAAATTCTGACTCCGATTATTTGTCTTTCCATTTTACTGATGCGGTAAAAAAAAGAAACATGATTTAAAATTCCGAAACACATACAGCTATGCATACATTTGGGTAAAAATAAAGATAAATTCAACTATAATTCCTAAAAAAAAAAAAAAAAGAATTGTGGCTAATAACCCCGTAACAACGATAACAGAGCAAATCACAAAGGGGCCATTTTCTGTTGGAATATTTATGGGACATCTATAAATAAAGGCATGCGCATTTTATATATTACTGTTGTTACTTCTCTTGTTAAATACAGGCCGATATGCTGCTATGACAGCAGCTCTCTATAAAGATGGTGGATTTTAAATCGTAATTTTCCTGCTATTGAAAACATTAATAAATAAATTCGAAAACAAAAATAAATTAATTAAATCCCTTGGAAAATTCTTCTTCAAAAGCAATTAAATGACTGAAAATCTAAGTAAGAAAAAACACTTCTAAAACAAAAAATATTAATTATATCAAATCAGTTTTAATATGAAAAAAATAAGATAAAGACATTAATGTTTATAAAAAACAAACAAACAAAAAAGGCATGTTTTTTCACACATTATTATTATTGATCAACAGGCGTCAGGAAAAGAAAAATAATAGAGAAAACTTTCAAGCAGCTAAAAATAATATATAAAAAAATTAAAATCTTAAAGAAAGCTGTAAAAAATCTGTCAAATACATAAATCTTACCATCAAAACATCAAGACTAAGGTACATAAACTGCATAAAAAAGACAACAAATACATTATATATATATTTGTTACATTTTAGATGGGTATGTTGCTCTTCTCATCGCTGCTGTTGATACCACCCTGGTAAATAAGTAATTACAGCTATGATCACTTTTTAAATAAAATAGGAAGGACGTCATATAAACACAATATTACAGAAAAAAAAAAAATTATTTCAAGAAAGGGTGCTATCCCTCTCGCCTCTACTGTAGAGGGCATCCTCTACCCTCCGTGAGGCTCTGCATGGCAGCCAGCTCCCATCACCCACCCCACCCTAATTACCCATCAGTCACCCACTGAAACTTTTCTCAGTGCCACATCACACAAGGGCATGTGTATTACCATTCTGTGTTCTTTTTTTCCGCTGCTCCCAAACAGGATTTTATTGCTCAGAGTCATTGAGACAAAGGCCTTTGATACTGCGGCCCTATTTCAAAAATAAATTAGACTACTTGGAGGCACAGATGTTAGTTTATTTGGATCCTGTTAGGGGGTTTTGCTGTTTGTTTTTGTGCAGTAACTTTAATTTAGCTGTAATATTTAGATAAAACAGTGGTTCAATACTTAAAGAAGCTTTATATATATATATATATATATATATATATTGAGAACCATCATATACATCTGGCACCTCTTCATGTAGAGGATGAGGTGGAGGGGTGGAGGAGGTAAAAAGGAGTGATTGAGTTACACTTCCCCTTGCTGTACCCCAAACACCAGAAATATGGTTCACATTGTAAAACATTCTCAAAGATCAACTAACAATTCATGGATGAATAAATGTGAATAGTGGTAATTAAATCTGTAATAGTCATAAACATGGCCTTGCAGGAACCATGGAGGCAGTTATTCCAGCAGAGTTCAGTTTCAGCTAGGATCATTTTGCAGAATACACGTGGAGCAATGTGGACAGCCTCCAAGCTCAAATGTAATTTGGGGCGAGTTACGGATGACATGGAAATCTCCGAGATGAAATATTAACAACAATTGAGTCTATTTCATGCCCTCAACTCAATCTGATTTATTCGTTTTAATTTTGTTTTCAATTTTGAGTGGAATTCAACCGTAGATCTGTTGATTTTCAGTGTTTTTTCTGTACAATTCCCACAAATAGGTTCTTTAAATGTACTCTTTTGTTTACACAAAATAATCAGATCTGAATTAATATTTGGTACTCAGATTTGACTATTTATTCAGTGTCTGCACAGTTTCTCAGCCAAAGCCCCTCAACCCCTCCCTCCAGCTAACCCAGTCGTGACTTTAGCCCTGAGAAGATCAGCTCATCAAAGAGTCTTTGTCCCATATGACTCCGCTTTGCTTCTCTGCTGCACATCCAGCATCTGTCTTCCAGCTCCCAGTAGTACAGGATATTCTGCACGTTCGCGCAGCAAGGCTCTGCTTTCTGGCATTCAGAGGTATTGGGCCGAACTCATAAGCTCAAAATTCACTGTTTGATGTGCAGGAGAGACAGCAGAGAAGCCCTTTTTATGAGCCAAAATATGCTGTTGAATAAAATTACTACTTTTCTGCCTTGCTTTGGCAGATTTATTCCAACCGAAGGATTTAAAGGAAATCCTGAACTGTTGGGCCTTTTTTCTACAAGTTACCTGACTGATCTTCCTCAGCATGAACAGCCCTAACAGGATGCAGTACGAATTGAGCATAAAGCTGCTCAGCCATGCAGTAGGTCTGCAGCCCGCCTGGTGCGCAGCTGGATCTTCTCCCTCTGCTTTTGTGTTTTTCATCTACTGTGTTACACTGGCTTGGATTCATCAAACAGTAGGAGAAGTCGCTAACAGTAGAGAACCACAGTATAGAGCACAGAGCAGGATGTGCACGTTTTGATTTATGGCAATATTGTATTTCTGCCTCTCAGTTTCAATTACTTGCTTTTTAATAAAGTTCCAAGTCAGCTGACACTTAGTGACTAATTTTCCTGTCGAGATATCAAACATGGAAGAAAAGTTTCTGTTCTCTGTCCCACTCGCAGTGACACAGCGCCTGCAAACTGCTAATATCTGCAACCGCTGTCTATAATGTTGACAGCAAACTAACGAAGCAAGATTCCTCTCTGCCTGTTATTCAGCACTCTGATGTTTTAAGGGAACCATGTAACATCGCAATGAACAAACCCCTCGGTAGGAACAGATGCACATGACTTACTTTTACTTTTCTGTAAGTTGTTAGACTGTTGAGATATGATATAATTTTGCAAAGGAGTACATAAAATTATGCGCAGCGAAGGTTTCATCCATAAAATAGACTGGAAAAACAAAAATAAACAGAATAATTAAAATCACAAAACAACCATCAGAAGAACCATTTTTTCACATTGGAAGAATATTTAAATCCTTTACTGATCCTATGTTATCATTACTACTCCATAGTTTAAAAGTCAGAATTAAAATCTGCTTTTTTTCTATGTCAGCTGTTGAAAAAAAATTTTTGTGAGCTCCAGCACCAATACCAAGTTTTCCATCTAGTTAAACTGCTCTATAGAGAAATGTAGTTATAAGCGACTGTTAAAAAAACCAAACAAACAAAAAAAAAACATGTGTTTGAACTTGTGATGACTCAGTTCTCTTGAAAATATTTACAGAAACAGCATCTTGAATATTTCCTACTGGGTCTGAAGGGAAAGAATGGAGAGATATACACTGGTATAAGTTTGTATTGTTGGCAGTAGTTGCCTGGTCACTAAACTATTAGCAATCCTGGATAGATGTCAAAACGTTTGCAGAAAATCTGAGCGAAAGTCCAGTTGGTTCCAATTTAAGCCTGCATGACAACTGTGGTTGCCATGACCTGAATGACTGAGAATTTGCACAGG